GTATTTATAACCAATCGAAGAATCATCGCTAACGTATTTAGTATCTCAAAGCGCATATTCGATCACGCCATCTAATACAATTGTATTCTTATTCAATTTTGTATTTATAACCAATCGAAGAATCATCGCTAACGTATTTAGTATCTCAAAGCGCATATTCGATCACGCCATCTAATAAAATTGTATTCTTATTCAATTTTGATCTCTGCACTAATTGAAGAATCATAGCTAACGTATTTAGTATCTCAAAGCATATCTTCACAATTAATATGTCGACCACAATATTTCCATTCAATTTTGCGTTCTGTACCAATAGGAGATTTATCGCTAACTCATTTGGCTATTCAAGCATTTTTACAATTGGCACGTCGTAGCCTTGTCTATTATTTACAATCGGTCAACTGAAGCCATTGCCAACGTAAATTTGTTATATATAGGTCTTGCTACTGATTGACAACAAAGTTTAAAAAGAAACTTTATTACTACGCAAATAAAAATAACCATGTCCAACAATTTTGTTTTCATTACCAAGGAGAAATTTAATGAATTATTGACCAATTACTTGTCAGATAAACAATATAACAAATCAATCATTTCAAGAGAAGTTGCCAGCAAGCTGTTGGACTTTTTTACCAATACAGGAAACAATGAAGTTGATGCGCAATTTAAATTTTGGGCAAAAAGGCGGTTTAAGACTATGACTATCGGTGATACCGTAAAGGTTATCCATAAAAAACGTAAAACGCCCATATGTGCCGAGCATGAGTTATATGACGTAATTGGAAATTATCATCTTGAACTTCAACACGCGGGATACAGAAAGACTTACGCAGCGGTAAATTAATAACATCATAAATGATTCTACTATTAATGAGATAGCCAGATTGTTCATATACTATTTTTATTGTTTATATTTAGATATCTCAACATTACAGCTATGTTCCGAGAGAGCTTGTACGTTTGTTTATTGGTGCGTGTAGCTCATGTTCTAACAAACGTAGAATGTTACCAACAGCGACTGCGAAGGCCATAGTTGCGAAAGAATACATGGCCCGTGTACAGGTAGAGTCTTTATTGCAAATAAAAAATAAAAAGTTTTGTGTTGTATGACTAATATACATTTTATATATAGATTGACTTAATTGATATGAGAAGCCGTCCCGATAGAGAATATAAATGGATAATACACGCGAGGGATCATTTTACCAGATATTCGTGGGCAACCGCATCGAGAACCAAAGAAGCTGTTTACGTCGCAGGATTTCTCTTTCAAATTTTCACTCAATTTGGCGCTCCAACTATTTTACAATCTGACAATGGCAAAGAATTTGTCGCTAACATAATTCGCGAACTTGTCAGTGTTTGGCCAGGTACTATAGTTATAAATGGCCGTCCAAGACACCCTCAGTCCCAGGGTCTAATCGAAAAGGGAAATGACACACTAGAAGTCAAACTTTCAACTTGGCACGAAGACAGCGGAAGGAACGATTGGAGCGCAGCATTGCCACTAGTCATCTGTAAGTTACGCCATAAACATACCATATAAAGAGTTGTTATCGTTGTTCTGTAATTAAAATTTTATTGACGTTTTATAATTTCTTAGGGGCAATGAATACGCAAGTTTGCTCTGCAACGAATCAGACGCCGTACGCTTTAGTATTCGGTCAACAACCACGTTCTAATAGAATCTTATTACAAGAATTAAGCAATATGGGTATTACCGATGAAGAGGATATACCAGACAACGTTGATATCGAAAATTATGACGAAGAAGTACAAGCGGAAGAAAGAAATGATGAAAATAATCAAGTTGATATACCAGACAGCGTTGACATCGAAAATTATGACGAAGAAGTACAAGCGGAAGAAAGAAATGATGAAAATAATCAAGTTGAGAGCGATAACAGTATTCAACTGTACGACGAAGATGGAGAATCACCACCACCTCTCCCACCACCTATTTCATTTTCATCGCGCCCATCCCCTCAATTAAATATCGACGATGAACCGCAGCCCGAATTTAATATCGATGATGAATCACAACCCGGTTTAAGCAACAATGAGCCCTATTATTCTTCGGACGATAATGAAATTTACATATCTCAATGTGAAACTGGTTATTATATTAAAGACAATATGATGTATAAGCCATTTAAAATTCTCCCTCCCTCGCCAAATAGGCATTCATACGTATTTCCACTAAACGCTTGGTTGATGCACAAAATAGCCACCATGTCGTTTACTCTAAATGACAAGGAATTTATTTTAAAATGCCTTGACGACTTAAGAAATTGGAATAATCATACATCGGAGGATGATCATATAATAGAAGAAGATCAACTGTCTGAGATATTCGAAGAATGGCCAGATAGAATTAAAAGATGGGAGGAACTGAATCAAGGTAATATAAATTTAACGTAACTATGGTTTATGCGTTGAAATATTGATATTAATATAATATTATTATATCTATATGGTGCAGGCGATGATAATAGTAGAGTAGATGAGTCAGGCTCTGTGGAAGAGTTATCTAATGTGGATAATAGTAGAGTAGATGAGTCAGGCTCTGTGGAAGAGTTATCTAATGTGGATGCTACTAGTGAGACTGAGTTTTTTATGAGGGGAAGCACCAGTAGACAAGATGTCATACGCAGAATTGCGAGAGAACAAATTGACAGAAATGTTGAATTGATTAAATCAGTCAT